TATACGCTAGTGTAAATCACAATGCCATATTGTAACTCCTGGTGACAGGTGCCACGACCTCATCTCCAACTCATCACTGAGAAGTCGGAACCCCGAACATGGCAGTATTCCTTTTGGTTCTCCTTCAAACCAACCCAAAAAGGTTGCACTCAACAAAAACACACGCAGCGAGAAGCGACTTTCTCGGCTTCTTTTGCCGGTGCCAAAGGGCGAAGGTCAACTCTGCAACCAGGCGGTTCGTGTCACCAGCAACCAGGATCTCTTTCATCGCCTGCACAACCGTGCCAAGCCAGAAAAAGGCAGTGAAAACACGCATGAGTCGCAAGGGCAATCTGAGCCTGCAGACTGTGTCCAAGCTCAACATGTCGTGCACCACACAAAAGCTGATGATCAATTGCAGGGCTTTGTGACCTTTGTGTATGCTCGAACTGATGGGACCTAGCTGATGCAAACACGCAACATGCGAGGCCGCGAGGCTCTCTGCCAATTTGAGTTGTTGTTTTTGCCAGCCGACTGACCCGGCGCCCAAACCCTATTTTTGGCTACTTGTTCGTTGTCTTCCCCTTCTCTTGATGCTGACTCTCAAGAACCCTTTCTTTTTGTTCAAGCTTTTTCCTTCCACGCCAGCGTTCATTCCATGCTTTTGCATGCGAAACTCCCGTTTGTGCTTCTTTCTCCAGCCATTCATGAGCCCGAAACGCAGGTTTCGGCCCGTTTTTTTGCGGAATTCGTGCAGGATTTTGCAAATGGACTGCTATGTGTGACATACTATCCCATTTCTTACGCATCGCAACGGCCGTCCACGGGATGCATGGCTGCCTCTGTTGTACATGCTGGCACATATGTTAACGTGCCCGTCCACGCACTGCATGGTTGCTTGCGTACATGCTGGCACATCGGTTAACGTGCTTGTCCACGCGCTGCATGGTTACTGCGCACATGCTGGCACATAGGTTAACGTGGCGGTCCACCACTGCATGGTTACTTGCGTACATGCTGGCACATATGTTAACGTGCCCCACCACGCGCTGCAGGCTTACATGCGCACATGCTGGCACATATGTTAACGTTCGTTCAGCATACATGAGCTCACGGCGGGCTTCTCACGCTCGACTTGTCATGCTGGCGGGGTCTCGACGCAAACAGGCTTTCTTGGAGCATGTTGCGTTGATGGCTTGCTCTGGATACTTGTATATCAGCTACGCTTGTCGCTTGCTCACTGGTGCATGCTCGTGACCTGGAAACGTCGCATGCTCGTGACCTGGAAACGTCGGATTTCTTTCACGCGGCTCACTGATTTACGTCGGCGGGGGTTTAGTTTTGGCATGCACTGTTTCCAGAAGCCCCCAATATAAGACAAATCTGAGTACAGCTACCTTGTTTTGTTGCACCGACAGACTTCCAAATCACTCTTCATCTTGCCGAACAAATGCAAAAGACATGTCCCTTTCAGACAACTTGTTTCCTTCCAGGGCACAACGTCGGCTTCCATCATTTCTTGCAGAGTCAACTCCAATCTCAGTGTTCCAGAACCAAGACCACATGTAAGCCTAAGATCAGCGACATGACAGGGAGGGAGAGGGGATGAAGCAAGTCATTTTGCGGACACTTGTTGGCTGCCCATATTTTTGGTTTCAGAGCAGTCATTGTCAATCAACAGCAGAGCAGAATCACGAAGCAGGTTTCAATGCAATGTGAGTCTCTCGCCTGGAAGCCAAGCACCGCTTTGTCTCGCACTCCAAAGGGGAATTTTGCCGTGCAAACAAAGTATCCAGCAGATAGGTACAGGTACAATCGATTCTTGTTTGACGCAACGCAAGCGGTACATCCCTGGCAACGCCAGCGGAATCTCCTCGAATCCCTAAGTTTTCACAGGCTTCCAGTGGAGGTTCAGCAAAAGCGATTCAACCGATGTGTTGAAGGACACAGGCCTGTACTTGAAAGACTGACGCGCGCGCGGCAAACAAAAAGTAGCATTTGTCGCGTTTCCAGTTGCGGCTCACTCTGGCTTGAACATCTGACAAATAACATGAGCGTAGAAACGCACACCCTGGCCACAGAATTTTGTTACGGTGTGATAAAAGCAAAACGGACATGGGGCCTTGGCCAGAACCGCATTTGGTGAACAACTATTGGGAAACGGTCGTGCAGTGCAGTAGATGAGACAACAATCGTCAATAGCTCATGCTTTTTCTTGTTTCTTACTTCCCTTTTTTCTTGGAGTGCTTCCAACTACACGTTCGGTTTCCGACCCGGCGGGACATTTATGTGAGTTCATGATGAGCTGCACCGCTCTGCACAAGCTCTCCTCCCTTCGAGTCCGCTGCCTGAAACTGAGCCAGGAGCTTCTGGTTGAAGATCTTCTTCGGCAACTCACTCTCCTGACAAGCTGAATTTGACGTGGTCATAGTCCATCCTATCAGAAACTATCAGTTTTGCGCACATAATTATCTCATGATCAAGAGTCAAGTACACCTTCATAGTATAGTTGTCAACACTGCTCTTCTAATACAGGACTCGCGTGGCTAGGACTTGGCCAACGCATCCAGTCCAAGCGCGAGCTGGTCATGTTACGCGTATTTCTCATTCTCAGGGGCTCCGATTTTGAGAAACTTGATTAACTGCACCAAGGTTGGTTTCAGCACATAGTTCGTGATAAAAGCTATTAACAACATCAGAAAAGAAACAAACAAGGCGTCAACGCCATCAGCCGAATCAGCCACAGCTCAAAACAGATTCAGACTAGCTTAGCAAAACCCACAAAACAAAGCCAGGAAGACATTCGCCTCGAGCTCAACGCTTTCAACTGCATTCTTGACAAGCACTGCGAACTCATACGAGTCATGCCAGAGAAAGTAAGGGTGTGTCCCCTTGTTTTGAGAGCACCACCTTTTTGGATGGTTTAAAGGAAAACCATCCGCGGCCCATCCCCGCCATCCCCCCCCACCCACATGTCAACGCCGTCATAGCTTCGTCCACTGACAAGGTGTCCTTCTCTCTCTTTGGAACGGTCTCCTACCCAAGCCACCGAAATGGGGGGCAGGGCTTCTGTTTGGCTTCCAGAGCACAGATCCGGCAGACTGCCTGGCTGAGAAAGAGCTCCATCAGCGCCATTGCGGGCACCACGTTGTAGCTACGCATCTCTGTCTCAAAGTCGATGGGCGTGCCATCCTTGCGGGGCGAAGGCGGGCAGGGTGTGAGACAGTTTCTGGCTTCACCAGAAATGCGATGTCCGAAAATCAATATTCTTTCCCGAAATGACATCTTCGCAAAACACAACACGGCCGCGAATCGACATATGCAAAAAACGTCCGCCTAATGAAAACATGGTGTTCCGCCCCAAACCTCCCGAATCACGACCCCCCACCCAATTGCAGCGTGCTGTAGACCAATACGAAACCTGGAGCCCTAAAAGGCTGTTTGTTTTTGTCAAAAGGCATTGCGCGAAAAACATGGCTATACGGCCGAATACGTTGTTCTTCGTTGTTGACAAAATTCGGGTTCTACATGGCGTATTTGGGCAAATGGGGCAAATGACCGACAAAGACAACCTTACGGGCAAAAACATGCCAATACGCCTTTTGACTGAAAAACTGGAGGCCTTCCGATGCTCCAGGAACCATTAAACTAATGATTTGCTGGCGATAGTTGGAACCCAAGCATTGCAAAACCTTACTCGGAAATTGCCATGGTGAAAGAACGGGTTCAAGAGCAGTTCCCTATTCCCTTTCGTATGATAATGATCTATAACTTTAGAATGAAAAAATATAGCCAGCAAAGGACCCTGATGACGCACATGTTTATGACTAGGCAGGACACTGGTTACTACGCGGAGAAAAAAAACACCAACTTTTCCAGCAGTCAGCTTGTCTTGCGCCAAAAACTGGAATCCTGCAGGTGCTGGAAACAACCCCTGTTAGGTCCTCATGTGGGATGTCTCAACCCCCCCCAAATGGGTGTTCTTGGTGGTTGAAACCCAAAAAGGCTACCTAGCATGGGTGTCCTTTTTAGGTGAAATAGATGGCCCTGGTAGATGATTAAACCACCAGGTAAACCAATGGTACCTGGGCAAGCTTAAAACGCGCCGGCCCACTGCTTCCGAGCCGCCTGCGGCCATTCCCAAACCGGCTTGCCTTCCGGGCCCACCTTGCAGGCCGCGCAATCAAACTCCAGCCTACTCTACTCCTGCCTGCCTGCGAGTGGGCGGGCGTGCGAGTGTGTGAGTGTGTGTGTGTGTGTGTGTTTGTGTGTATGTGCCTTTGTGTGTTGTGTTGTTGCGCGCTTGTGTGTTTGCGTGTTTGTGTGGTACAAGTGGTTGTGTGTATGTGCCTTTGTGTGTGTGTTTGTGCGCTTGTGTGTTTGCGTGTTTGTGTGGTCGTGTGAATACAGGCGCTTGTGTATATTATATGTGCTTGTCATTGTGTGGATGTGCCTTTGTGTGTTTGCGTGGTTGTGCGCTTTTGTGTTTGCGTGTTTGTGTGGTTGTGTGTATGCATGTGTATACACATCTAACCTATACATATGTTTGTGAGCGTATGTGCCTTTGTGTGTGTGTGTGTGTCTGTCGTTGCGTGTTTGTGTGTATGTGCCTTTGTGTGCTTGTGTGTATGCATGTGTGTGTGTGCATATATGTGTTTGTGCGTATGTGCCTCTGTGTGCTTGTGTGGTTGCGTGTTTGTGTTGTTGTGTTGGCGTGATTGTTTTGCGCGCGTATGTGTGTGTGTATGTTTGTGTTTGCGTCTGTGTGCGTGCGCTTGTCCTTTTGTGGGCTTGCGTACTTGTGTGCCTGTGCGTTTGTTTGTTTGTTTAATTTTTTGTTTGTTTGCTTGCTTGCTTGCTTGCTCGTTTGTGTGTTTGCTTGCTTGTCTTGGTTTGTTTGTTGTCTGGTTGTTTGTGTGTTGGCTTGTGTTTGCTTGCTGTTGTTTGTGTTTGTGTGTTTCTGTCTGTGCTTGTGTGATTGTGTGTTTGTGTTTCTGTGTCTGTCTATGTGTTTGTTTGTGGGTAGGTGTGTTTGTGTGTGTATGCGGTGCACGTGTATGTGTGCTGTGCGCATCTGTGTACCTCTTTGTTTGTGTGTTAGTGCTTGTGTGCGTCTGTGCGTGTGTGTGTGTGTGTGTGCGCGTGCGTGTGTGTGTGCGTGCGTGCGTGCGTGCGTGCGTGCGTGCGTGGGTGCGTGCGTGGGTGGGTGGGTGGGTGGGTGGGTGGGTGGGTGGGTGGGTGGATGGGTGAGTGTCTGTGTCTGTGTCTGTGTCTGTGTCTGTGTCTGTGTCTGTGTCTGCGTGTCTGTGTGTGTTTGCTTGTGCGTAGGTGTGTTTGCGCGTACGCATGTTTGTGCCTCTCTTTTGTTTTAGTGTGTGTGGGTGTGTTTGTGAGCGCCTGTTTTTTTGTGTTGGTGTGATTGTCTGTTTGAGTGTCTGTGTGTTTGTGTGTGCGTTGTTGTGTGCCTGTGTTTGCGAGTGATCTTCTGTGGTTGGGTGTGTTTGTGTTTATGTTCATGTTTGTGGGATGCTTGCGTTTGTGTTTGACGGTTTTTGGTTCTTTGCTTTCTTGCGTGTATGGTTGCTGTTTGTTTGTCGGTTTGTTGTTTTTGTTTGTGTTTGTATGTTGTTTTTGTTTGTTTGTTTGTGTTTTTGTTTTTGCGTGGAATTCTGTGGGTACTCTTTTCGGGGTTGTCAAAGGAAACCAACACAACCGCCACCATTTTGGAGGGTCCAAATCTCAATTTTGACACACACACACACACACAATTGAACCCAACAAGGCCCCACAAAACGAGATTCCCGCAAAACCCACCGGGCTACCCGGTGCCATGGTAACTAGGAGCGAGGGTACGATGATCCTGTGCTTGTAGCTGAGGCATGACTGTTGTGATCTAAGAAATTGTTGACAACGAAGTGTTGCTTGAGTACGGTGTTGGGCCAACGTTCAGAAATATCCAGACGTGGGCAGGCCTGGAGCTGTTGAACGGTGTTGCGAGGATCCCAGCTGCTTGCTCCCCGTGAGGGTTAAGTCCACATGTTCCAGCTTTTGAACTGGCCTGACTTTCGAGTGCTTCAACTCTCGAATGATTTCTCCACTCTGAACCGCTGCTTTCACTCCACAGAATACTAAGAATACTATACAAATGGCGGCATTTCAGAACGTGTGCTGAGCCGGTTCCCAACGACTTCGGAGCGGATATCGAACGGGTTTTGGGCGGACTCTCATCAGCATGTGAGCAGATCCAAAGAACCTGAACAAGGGCTATTCCATGACAGAGACAACACATCCCGCAGCGAGGAAGATCAAATTGCAAGGCGCTGTTCCCCTGCACGATGTCAACTTTGCATTAATCTGGAGGACCAAATCTCTGAAGACACCCCAAAATAGTTGCTTTCCTCACTCAACTGGACACCACCCCTGATTAGTATGGTCCGCGATAGCGATCGTCATGCAGAAAGAGGCTGAACCTTGCCTTCAGACATTGCTATGTTCTGGTTGGCACTTCCAAAGAATCCCATTTTCCAGTATAGGCTTCGGTCAACCAGCCGTTGTTTTTGTCAGTTTTCAATTATGGTAGTTCCCTTGCTTGCCTGCTACAGTGTTTCTTGCTAGTCACCAGCCAGTTTGCAGGTGGCCAAAAGGGTGCGAATCCCCGTGGATCCTCATAGTCACTTTTGCAAATAAATGCGCCAAGGTCAAAAAATGCTATACGCAATATTGAATCTTTCGACCTGTACAAGAAAATTAGTTGCTGGAAACAATATGACTGAATGTTCTTGTGGTTTGAGAGTTTAAGTAACAGTGATATGAATGAAAATTGATTCAGGCGGTTGCTGTGCAAATTGCTTGCGAGAAGGTTTTTGGAATGCGTTTGCAGTAGGGTTCATGGAAAATGCATTGTTTGCAGTTTGCTGTAGTTGCATGTGTTCAAACCTGTGGTGATCATCCCCCATGCCTCTCCATGGACCGGGAAATGATGACCCAACCTGGGACTCTCGGCTCGACAGTCCCTGCCAGCCTGTATGCCGTTGAAGCTGTTGTTGGAGCGTGCGGGCAGCAGCTGGGGTTCCTGAGGTTGGGGGAGAAGGCCCGGCAGAAACGAAGCTTCTCTCCATTGTGCCCGCAAATGGACCTGGGGTTGCGCCGCAGACTTGCCCTTCCTCCAAACTTCACCCAGAGCCCAGCTACCACAAAATGGGTAACCAGCCATTTTCCGATTTGTTTTCAAAGGGTGGTTCCCTTGGCTACCTACTAGGGAAACGGAATTAGCTTTTGCACCCCATGAACGCCACAAGCTCCCCATTTTGGTGCGAACTCCGGCGGATTTGTTGGTGTAGCGCGGCGAATTTCTGCGGCTTGCAGCCTTTGATCTTCGGATCCATCGTGTTGAAAATCAGTCCTCTTTGCCATTCACCAACTTGAAACTGGTGGGTTCTCGACAAAGCCTCCTGATGGTTTGCCCCTTGGACCTGAGAAATTACGACATGAAGCATGGGCTGAGAGGCAGCTTTGGAGGTC